AGCATCAGGTACTTCTATATCTTTAAGCATATTTATTATTTTAGGTTCATATCCACTCATTATATGCTAACTTTATGAATTATAATGTGATATACATCAAACTCTAATAATTTTGGTTTTGTAAGTAACGCCTATAACAAAAAATATCAGTAGCTGCTGTTTAATTGATCGTTTTTACTCTATAGAACCTTGTCAAAGTTACCAGACTTTATCGGATATCGATCGTTCTGTTCTGTCAACAACTGCTGCCAATGCACTTACCTTTCGATGCGATAAAGGGCTAAATAATGACTGGTATCGAATTTCTGGAGGGAGTCTAAGTCAAAGGATACAGAGCAGTTGTGTTACCAGCGGCAGAAAATGTTTAACGCTGTCTGTTGGATGGATGTCGGGGAGTCATCCAAAAGGTATCTGAAAGACAATTCTTTCCTAATTTGAATTGCAATTTACCTTTTTGATCTATTTAAAACAAAATCGAATCATATCGTAATAGATTGAGTTAGTCTATACTATCTTAAAGTACATCCTTTATCATTTGAATTGCAATTTGTGTTTTTGATCTATTTAAAACAAAATCTATTTGTATTGTAATGGATTGAGCTCTTTTATACCATCTTAAAATATATCTTTCAGCATTTGAATTAGAATTTGTATTGTTGATCTATTTAAAACAAAATCTAATCAAATTGTAATGAATTGAGCTCCTTAATATCACCTTAAATTAGCCTCATTATTTCTATTTCGTTTCTCAAAGATACGTTACGTATGAACACGTTAGATTTTATTTTTCAATTTTGGGGAAATAAATTCAGTTTTGCTAGAAGAAAACTGTAATATATTTAATGGAATTCTAAATCATTCTTAATTATTGCTATTATTGCTTATTCACATTGGTTTACTTTAATTATTATTGGAATTATATTTCGTCTTTTTAACTTACGAAGATACAAATTCTAACGTTGTACAGCAGATTTATGAACCACTGATATGAACATAGAGTATAATTTTCAATCGTTATTATTTCACCCATTGCTTTAGTCTATTACAAGAGTTATTAACGAGTAACAGAATTATGATTTAGGTTTTTAACTTACTGTTCTTCCTCGAATATGTTTGAGAAGTACTAAGCGTCTTTTATAAAGCGATTCCTGAGAGTAATTAATTAAGACACAATCGCCATCATTTTAAAGGGTATTTGTCATTCATTTAGTCTTATTTCTATACTTTTATTATTTCTTTTCGTAGATTAAACTGTATAGAAATATTTATCTATTTGACTACAGTCGTTCTACAAAGTATGAATTTCGTCTGCTAAAAGCAATTCGTTATGGCTATATCATTTTGAAAGGTTACGTTTTCAAATATTCTTCTGATATAAGAAAGATATCTTAGCCATCGCTTATCTTGTAGAT